CACACACACACACACACACACGCGGCGCACACACACACACACACACACAGGCTCTTCCCATCTACACACACACACACACAGGGGGCGCATGCACACACACACACACACACACACACACACACACACCCCTTTTCCTGCACCCTCACCCCCTGCCATGCCCGCCCCATGCGACGGCGCCCCGCTGCGAGCAGGGCTCCCGGCACGGCGCCACGCAGAGGGGCCTGCGTCTGCGTTCAAAAAGGGAGGCTGCAGAAGGCAAGAGCTAGAGCAGGAGCAGCTGCGGCACGTCCGTGGCGAGCAGGGAGCGCGAGCAGCCCGATTCCCGGGGAAGATGGAAGGGGAGGGCGGCGGTTCTGGAGTGTCACTCAGTATTTATTAATCTTTGGCCCCGGTGGCCTCGAGAGACGCCCGGCGAGCCCGCGCACTCAGCCTCTCCCCTCGCCTCTGCCCTTATTATACAGGCATTTATTAACTTCCGCGCTCTCAGCCATTGACTGGAGCCTTGTCTACATGATGGGCTCATGTAAATTCATTATCCTAACAGCCGGGAATCAACCCCTGCGCGGGAAAGGGGGCTGACGGAGGGGGGCTGCACGCGCCAGGCACCGAGGCCTCCTGCAGCTCCTAGCGCCCAGGAATCTGCCCGTCTCCAGCCCTGGGAACCTCCCCAGCGCCACCTCCCCAGCCGGGCCACCTTCACACAGGTGCTGCCAGGGATCGTTAGAGAGCCAGCCTCTTCTCCTCCATTCAGTAAGGCATCTGTATCCCGCTGCACCCCCCTGCCCAATAAATGGCTCAAGAAGCATTACTAATCAGTCCTCTGCCTGCCTCCTGCCGATTTCATAATTACTCCTTCCTTTCATCCCCGGCTCCGCACAGACACCAGACCCCGGGCCTGCTGCCTCGCTGCTCTGTAATTACAAGCTAATAGCCTCGATGAATTTTCTGCTGGGGCCCAGTTCAAGCACCAGTCCCACCCCCTTCCCCCTTGACGCCTCCCCCCCTTGGGGTAATTACACCCTGGAATGCCGGGCGCAGCAGGCCTCCGCATTTCCTCACAGGCACGCCCTGGCTGCCTGAATTCCCTAATCACCCCTCTCGGTAATTCTTCATTACCAGGGAAAGAAATGTTTGTGAACAAATAAAGGACGCCCCAGAGCTGGGTGCATTGGGCCTTCCCCACCCCTGCAAGGTTAGCCTCCATACGCCGCCCTGCGCCAGAACAGCATCATCCCCTTCCAGCAGAGGGCAGCAGGATGGACAGACAGACACATAGAGCTGGTATCATCCCCCTCCAGCAGGGGGCAGCAGGATGGACGGACCGACAGAGCAGGGCTCATCTCCTCCAGCGGGGGGCAGCAGGACAGACGGACAGACACAGAGCAGGGCTCATCTCCTCCAGCGGGGCAGCAGGACAGACGGACAGACAGAGCAGGGCTCATCTCCTCCAGCGGGGGCCGCGGGACACATGCACAGCATGTGATGCTCAGCTGAGCGCCGAGGCTGCATAACGCATTCATTCTTGCCATGGCCTTCGGCGTGTTCCTAGCTCCCTGGCCCAGTGGGGGGATGGGAGGGAGGTGAATGGCAGCGCTCTCATCCCACAGAGGCCTGGGGGCAGGAGAGGAAGGACAGAGTCCGGGGGCCGGAACAGAGCGCTCCAACCTGGACTGATTTCCACGGTTCAGTGTCTCGGAGGCACGGCCCCCGCAGCCGGAGCCAGGCTGCAACTCCAATGACCGAATGCCATGCGGCTGCAGCTCTTCTCACACACACTGGCCCAGGGGGATTCCCTCTGAACCGCGACCTGCTCACCCACCCCAGCCACCAGGAAACTCACCCTAGCACTCCCCGGACAAAGCCGTGCTTACACCCCTCACCCCTGCCTCCGGACCACGTTACACCGGGTCAGAGCTGAGCTCAGCCAGGCCTTCCCCGGGAGCCACACCTGCTCTGGGCCTGGCCTGCTGGCCAAGTTGGGTCCCCCCGCTGCTCCATGGACACAGCCTTGTGCCCGATTTCCATCGGTGCACGTGGGAGCAGCGTGGCCCTACTTTGTGGCTGAGAAAACACTGGGAGGGAAGGGTCCCTCACCCCGGCTCCCCTGGCAGTCAGCACGAAGCGTG